GATTTCCTCGTTGTTTTTCTCAAACCGGTCTTGGTGCTGATGAATGGAATGTCCTATCATTTCAGCACAATACATTCAGTGAATGGTATTTTTAAGTTGATCCCAGTGCTCTTGAATGTCCATGACATTAACAGGCAAGTTAGAGAGTTTCTCAGACAGGTATTGCTGGAACATCTGGCAGCTGGCTTGATCCTGAAGCGCTTTGATGTTATAGTGATTTCTCTTAGTCTTTGGGTGTTTGCGGTGTGGTGGAGCAAGCTGCAGATGACTGATCTTACTAATCGACGATCTGTCCAACAGTGATCTATACCTCTCATGGCTCTTGTTATATGGACATTGGTGTAATCTCGAGCTCTGACTGTGACATAGTCAGGAAGGTGCCATTGTTTGGACAGAGGATGTTTCCATGTGGTCTTAAATTTGTTACTCTGCCTAAAGATGGTATTTGTGATGAGCAGGTCATGCTCCACACATTTGCTGAGGAGAAGACCATTGGGGTTTACATTATCCACCCCTTTTTTGCCTATTTTGCTGCTCCAGGGTTGGGAGTCCCATCTGACTCTGGCATTGAAATCTCCCAGGAGGATAAGTTTGTTTACCTTAAGTGTGGCTGTGAGGACTTCATCAAGAGTGCCATAAAACTGTTCCTTGTCTTCCTCGTTATCGAGTGTTGGGCCATATGTGCTGATAGCCATGGCATATTGGTTGTTGCTGAGCTTGAGTCGAAGAGTCATGAGATGCTCGTTGATCCCCATGGGATGCTCCAAAAGCTGACTGGTGATTTTATTTTTGATGGCAAAGCCAATCCCGTGAATGCATCTCTCTTCAGGTGGCTTTCCTTTTGAAAAGAAGGTGTAGCCACCTCCATCCTCTTTTAATTGGCCCTCATCAGCCCGGTGTGTCTCACTAAGAGCTTCAATGTCAATGTTGAGTCTTGCCAGCTTGCTGGCAATTATGGCAGTTCTTCTTTCTGGACATTAACTGTGCTGAGAATCCATAGGGTGGGGACATTACAGGTGGCAAAATTCATTGTCTTATATCTTATGTTTCGGCCACGGAGTTGAGTGATCCCACTAGATGTGGCCATCCAGTCGGAAGAGTGTGAGATGGCCTATGTTTACAGCACCTTTTCTAGCCCCCTCCCCATTTGGGGTGAGCAGAGGGGATCCTAAAAAGGCCTGCTAAGTCACAGTCGCTGCTGCTGAAATGCACTTCTGTCTCATTCAAGCAGAAGATGACTGTCACACGGCTGCTGCCTGCATGCAGATTTGTGACTAAAAACTCCCAGAGATCACTGCTCTTGTCTTCACTGCTACTCATCTGTCACCGCAGGGCTTTGTGCGGGTGTGAGCTCTTTGGCACGTGAAATCTTGTAACGTGGAGAAACCGGTGCGCAGGTGGTGACCACACAAGACTTGACAGGAGGAAAACCCTGACCCAGTGGTAAGGAGATTCAAGACAACCGGGGTCTCCCTCCTGCTGCAGCCCTCATTCACCTTCACAGCCGCAGAGTATTAAAAGGTTTTCTATATGCGCCTGATCCACCACTGGGTCTTGTGAAATTTGGTTAATCAGTGGTGGTTAATCAGATTAGCCTCGGATGTGCTCACCAAGGGGGACCCTACCTGGCATATGAAAGTTCCAGATGTAGCTCTGAGGGTCTTTAGCCCACACAAGCCTCTCCACCACAACAAAGTTGCGGTCCATCAGAGAAGAAGAGTGGATGTATTGAGCATGTGAAAACAGCAGTTTTTCAAAGGCTTATCAGCCAAATTTGAGTGGATTTTCATGAGGACAGCAAAATGCACATCCCTGGGATAAAGGTGATCCCTTTCTAACCTTCAAATTTCTGCTCCAAAGCATGAGGGCACTAGAGATTTTTCAAGGAAAAGGTCGCCACAAGTTTTGACCAGGGGCAAAACTACATATTGTTTCCTAGCGTCGTTCTCAGAAATGACTGAACAGTTTTGGCAGACATTTTTCTAAAACAAGTCAGACTGGGGCAGACACTCAGCACGAAAAATTTCACCCTGAACAGTTAGTTTGGCCAAATTATAAATAATTGATAACGGGGTCTTATAATGGGAAGTGTAAACCAACCTCAATAATATGACGCTACCAGCTCCACCTTTAATATAGCTTTTCCTGTAGGCAAATGGGACTAGCTATACCAGTATAAGATACCTTTATACCACTACAACTGTGCCCATACTAAGGTTGGTACTGGTATGATTGTATTGGTAAAAAATTACACCCTGAATCAACTTAGTAACTCCAGTATAACTTTCAAATGTAGACCAGGCTTTTGACTAAATTGTTATGGGGAGATTTTCAAAGGCATAAAAGACAGGGGTGCCTGGCTTTCATTGAAAGGCAATGGGAGATGGGTGCCTGTGCCTTTGAAAATCTTCTCTTAAGTCTCAAACTTACAGCAGCTTCTTGATTCCAATTTCCTCACTTTAGTACAGTCTTTTTTTGCTGACCCATGTTAACTTGTTGGTAGTTGGCTGCTGTCTCAGAAGGCCGCAAGTTCCCTGTTTTATAGCTCCTAAACTTCCTTTTGGTTACAGTTATTGAATACCCTTTATTTTATGTTCTTCCTGAGCTCCTTTGAAATTCACAACATTTCCTTAACTAATTTAGTGAGGCTTAATTTAAAAAGACAGTGGAGTGTTTTCCTGCTCCTTTTCGGTAGGACCCAAGGGAAAAATAAACAGACTCTTAGACAGAAACACTGGGCCACACATGTTGCTGATGTAGGTGGGTGCTACTTCAGTTAAATTCTGCCCACTTGTGTGACCATGACAAATTTGATTGATCTGGATGAAAAAAATGAATTGAATGATCTTTCTACTGCAGTTAATTTAGTCCATATTAAAATAAGGATATGAAAAGATGTATTTGTGCATTGGGGGGTCTTAGAATTAAACTAAGTATGAATAGATATTTCCTCTCAGTTACAGAGAGATTATTCTTTCCTCTCTCCCAGCAATTGAGCTGCCTCAGCATTAAAACTATGAATGAAATTACATTAACCCCTGCCTTTCTGATTCAGATGGCCTTAATTTTTCACACAATGCATTGAAGAACTTGTTGCAACAAGTTATTGAGTTTAACAGGAATAAAGAAGGGATTTAACGTTTATATAAACAACAAAAATGTCCAAAATTGTTATAGTAAGTATTAAAGTATACCAAGAGTTTTGGAAGGGATATAAACTCTTATTCTTCAGGGCTTTTGGCAATCTCTAACTATGGCAATTCCTAAATTAATATTACAGTAGCTTCTTTTTGTTTGGCTCAGTGCTTCTGTATAAAGAATTTTTTTTGGGGGGGGAGGGGGGAAGGGTTGTATGGCCCCAATTGACATCCTATTCACTTGAGTAGAGCTCTGCACTAATTGCAATGAAAACAGTTGCTGCTAGTTCATAGTTACAATGGAAATCTTGAAAGGAGCAATATTGTGCCACCCAAGGTAGCTGCTGAATAGCTGCAGTGATCCATTAATTTTTGGTTATTTCTTTTCTTTTTTTAGATGTGGTTATATAAGACCTTGGGAATGTGTGATTTGAGCTGAAGCCTCTAGCACCACCTTTGCTTTTGGCAAGCATTAAAATAGCCTGATGGGAACCACTTATTACCTCCAAAGAATTGCAGAATTCTTTGTGCTGCAAACATCCAATTGTCCTCCTGGCTACCTCCTAAGCTAGCTCTTCAGCTCCTCCCCACTGCCTGCCTTTTCTGCCCCGCCTCCTCAGGAGGCACGATGCCTCACAGAGCATCCAGAACCACCAGGGGAGTGTGCATGCTTTGCCATCTCATTGAATGGCCAGCTTTGCTTTGCCCTTTTTGGGGCAACTTGTACCTTCTAGTGTGCATGCAGGACACAGCTTGGCATTTCCCCCTGTGCGAGGAAAGCAGGGCTGGCTCCAGGCACCAGCTCACCAAGCTTGTGCTTGGGGCGGCACCTGGATGGGGGTGGCGTGGTGTGGTGCTCCGGCTACCGGGGAGAGCGGGGCCACGGCCGGGCACTCTGCCCTCCCCCCGGCGTTCTGGCTGCCGGGGAGAGCAGAGCCGCGGCCGGGGCTCACCGCCCTCCCCGCAGCGCTCTGGCTGCCGGGGAGAGCGGAGCCCCGGCCAGGCACTCTGCCTCCCCCTGGCGTTCTGGCTGCCGGGGAGAGCAGAGCCGCGGCCGGGGCTCGCCGCCCTCCCCGCAGCGCTCTGGCTGCCGGGGAGAGCGGAGCCCCGGCCAGGCACTCTGCCCTCCTCCCAGGGCTCCGGCAGGACTCCGGCTGCCCTCCCCCCTGGCGCCCTCCCCCCGGCCGCCGGGTAGAGCAGAGCCCTGGCCGGGGCTCACCGCCCTCCCCCTGGGGCTCCGGCCGTACTCCCCCCGGCGCCCTCCCCTGCCGTGCGGAGGGGGGGGGCGGCCGGAGGCTTTTTTGCCTGGGGCAGCAAAAAAGCCAGAGCCAGCCCTGGAGGAAAGGCCTGCATATGTCCTTTTTCCACACACTCCTGTGCACCTGCCTAAAACAAAAACTGGCCTCTAACAAGGAACCAAATGTACACACAGTAGCTACTGAGAATTTGCATTCGAACGTTAAGAAAACTAAATGACTGAACTGTATCTTAAATAATATTTATACTTAGTATATGTATATGAATGTACATAACTGATATATCTAATTGTACTGTACTGTTTCATTAATCTGTAAGGCTGCAAGGACATGAGAAACACTTTGATACATGACATTCTGGATAATCGCAGCTGAGCAAAACATTCACTTGCATTGAGGTGGGTGGAATCACATGAGAAACGTGGCTAATCAAGATTATACTGGATTGAAATCTTTATATCCTCAGCTTATCTCAAAATTCAGGTCTTCATTAAAAGTCTGAATTTTGGGAACCGTTTTCAATCTAGGTGGTTACTCTGCTATATTAGAAAATATGTTTTAGAAGGAAAATGTTATTTTTAACCACGGGTCTTTGTTCATTATGCAGTGATGAAAGGAGCTGTGGTATTACGGTCCACTTTGGAAACACGTTGAAGTCTGTCCATTGTGAAATTGGATCCATAAAGAATAAGATCTCTGATTGTGATACCTGCATATAAGATCTGAACCAAAAATGTCTTGTATAGATCCATTTCAACATATTACAGTGAGTACATTTGACTTTCCTATGCATGTTGTATTGTGCATCATCTGTTGCAAGCAGTTACTAGCAATAACTGTATAGTGTTAGTATCATCATGAAACTTGAAAGACTCTCAGTATGGGTTTGGGTTAATTAAGAATAGATTTAGGAGAATTTTATTTAAAATGAAATTTGATAGATATTATTGATATTTTTGTAAAATTTTCCAAAGCTCCCAAGGATATGTCTACACTGCAGCTGGAGGTGAGCCTCACAGCTTGGGTAGACAGACTAGCACTAGCTTGGCACAAGCTAGCATGCTAAAAATAGCAGCATAGACATTGCAACACCAGTGAAGGCTTGGCTAGCCACCTGAGCTCGGACCCAGGGGTTGGGTGGGTCCAAGCTCAGGTGGCTAGCTGGAGCCTCTGCACCAACTCGCCTTTGAAAATAGAACTTACGCTCCTACGTCACGTAGGCCCTTTTCAAATATTACCTTAGACATTAATTGTAAATTATCATAATTTTAACGATTTTTGGATTCAAGACTCATAAACCGTTCAGTCATATGGTGCTTTGATAATTTGATAGTTATATTTCCTCCTATTAATATTCTCATGAATTGATTGTTAGATAGAACTGAGAGCAGAAGCGTTCACCAATTTTTTACAAATGCAACACCAAATGTGTTTAACTTTCTCTTAAAAGTGATTTTTCTCGCAATCTTGACTGGCGTGATAAATTGAAAATAATTTAACACCTGAACCAAAGTCTATTGAAGTCAAGGGAAGGCCCTTACTTGAATCCTCCAACTTCGCCTACAAACTTAGTCTATAAATAACTAAAACTTTGCACATTGAACAATGGAATCACAAATCCCATCTGAACTGGAATCACTAACATAAGCAGGATGTGTTCATAAGATCACATATTGTTCGTAACTCTGGGAAACCTGTTACAGCAGGAAAAGCAGTGTGTGTTCAGAGGTAGTTACCAATATACTTGTCATAATGTTGAACTTCTGAGTTGCTAAAATACAGCACATGTTTCCTTGAAATGATCGCTTATCAACTATGTGGTTTCTCCCCCTATAGTCACATCCTTTAAATGAGTCTGCAGCCAACGGATGTCAAGCACGTGTTTTATTCATGCAAGTTTTGTGAAGGCTGTTGTGATGCCAGTCTCAGGTTGGCAGGCAGCATTATTTAATAGAGTTTAAAATGGCCTGCCAACTCTGAAGATTGCTGTTTGTAATCGGATGGCTACTATGTATGTGTATCGCTGTGCTCTCCTGGATGGAATGTCAAACCTGCTCAAATATCTGTGATGCAGCTGTTTGAGATATTTACAACAAAACAAAACATGCTCAATTTAAAGTACCTGAGTAGCTCCTTGAGGTCAGTGGGATTACTCATGTGCTTAAAATTAAGAACATACTTTAGAACTTCATTGAATCAGGGCATTAGATTATATTTCATTTAGCTGCTCCGAGAAGTTTGGTAGGACTGCTGTCATGGGACAGAAATATAATGGGAAAGTGCAGTTTTTAAAACAAAATGTAGTTAAATTTCTCCTCTCCTGTTGAACCATAGTTCATTGTCAATAAAAGAGTTAATAGGAGTTAAAATGAGAGATAATTTTCATGACTTTTTGGTTGAAAAGTGAAATTTCACAGAAAAGCATAATCAAAATCCTGAACTTTAGGAGTAATCTTTTCCTAGTTTTTAAATGTTGTCCCTTTTCTTTTTCATGAAAACCTCACCCATAAATAGAAGGGGAAATTGACTGAGTGAGTTATTGAGTTTACAGGAAGTTAGTGAAACTCACTGCACTGTTAGAAGCACAGAAATTAGAGAAATAATTTTCCTCCCTGTAACCTTTCTCCAGTTATATTGATGTTTAGGTGTTGATTGAAAGAATAATAGGTAAAATATGTACAGCCTCGAGTGTGGATTTTTTTTTAAAGTTTACAGTGTCCCTTTGAAAGAAGGAAATGTACTTTATAAAAGTTGTTTAAACAAAACAATCCCTTTCCTCCCTAGCCCAATTATCTGCTTAAATTTCCTATTTGGTACCAAGGAAGTAAAAATGTTATACAATTGATGCAAGTCAGAATGCTTTGATGTATGTTTTGTGCACGGTTACATTTTGTCTTCAGATTAAATTATGTGACTCAGCATCTCCATGCGTGAATGGTAATGGGCACCTTTTTAAAAAATATGAAACCATTTGAATTTCTCAACAGGCACAGAAGATTCTTATTCAAAACCAGTTCACTTTACAGAAAAGTTTGAATGAAACTTGAGTGCACTGTTCCGATTCCCAGGATAATGGTAGGAAAGTGAAATGTAATCAAACTAGTTTTTTAAAAAAGGAATAGTGAATAATTGTCACTTACTTGCCTCATATGTAAGAGAAGAAGTAAGTTAACTAGAGTTTTTATTGAGGACAGGAAGACATTAAGATGAGAGACAGGAAAGGGTAAGCTAGGGGTAGCAAGAAAGGGAGAGGAGTGTGTATGTGTGTGGAATGAGGTGCAAAGAGATGGCTGTGCGTGTACTCATGACAATTCTATGCTTGTATGTACACAGTGTTACCCACACAAAATTCTCTGTTACTCACACACTCAAGGGCACCCACCTTTACCCAGTTCCTAGGGCTCAAGGCATAACTCTCTTAATTTAGGAACCCCCACCCTTTCCCAGTTCCTAGGGCTCCAGGTGAAAAGCCCCTAACTTTATCCCTCTGTGGGCTCCGGGCTCTACTACTCCGTGGGCTCCGGGCAAACACCCTGTCCCTGTGGATTCAGGGCTTAATCTTTTGCTGGTTTACGGGGTCTTTTACCAGTGAAAGAGCCTTACATAGTAATATACTACAAAACCTCTATTAATTAACAGTAACCAAAAACAGAATTCACACACTACACATACAGTGCTCACCGCTCCCAATAAGACAGATGAACTTTTCTTGATGGCCAATCAGGACCAGGTCCATCTGGAGGACTCCAGTTTCTGCATGGTGTCATTGGCAGAGTGTTGAGGTCTGGCAGCTCTGATCTTTGGGGCTGTGTCCTGGAGTTGGTTCCCAACGAACTTCCTTTTGGACCCCCGTTTATATAGTGAAGTTTGAGTCCTGGTTAGCTGTACCTTAACTGATCATTATACTAATTTTTTTCTAACCAATCCTAACATAGGGTAACAAAATTCTCTAACCGACCCTACCCCACCACCTTAAATTAATTTACACCTAGCAAAATTAATTATGTAACAGACAAACAATTAAATAACCAGACAGATACCATACCCATAAACAATAGGGAGGTGGGGACCATGATGACCAAACAATAAATCAACAAGGATTTCACAACCACAACTATTAATCAGTGATTTCTTGACAGATAGAATGCTATCAAACTAAGTTTTCTTTAGCCACCTTAAGATCTGTTTCTTTATCTGAGGATAGTGGGTGCCATTAGAACAGGGTCTCCTTCTCAACAACCTGATATTACATTGTTTAAATGTAATTTAGATAGAATGTGAGGATGTGACTTTCTGCTTTTAGCTTATGGCTCTCCTAATATGGCTGCTACTGCTTACCCAAAGAACAAGGCCTCAGACCTTACAACAGAGTGGACTGAGCCATCAGAAGGAGAATATTCCTGGCAGAAATTCCTGTGACTCATATAATCCATCCAGGTGGCCTGTATGGTTGAGTGATTTCCTCCCTGCTTTTCCACTGGAGAGGTTTAGTTAGTTTTGCAGGAGAAAGAGGAATTGAGGTAAAATTGTCAAAAACCCCTAAGTCCCATCTTCAAAAATGTCACTTTTGAACATGGGAATCAGGCTCCTAAATTACTTAATGGCTTTTGATAACTTTATCCTGGCTGTTGGGGAAACCGGTTTCTACGCTTCCTTGCTGCTGTGAGCTATCCACATTATCTTCGTCCTCCTCTTCCTCATACCCAGAACCCTCTTCCCTGTGTGTTTCTCCAGTGAAGGAGTCATAGCACACAGTTGGGGTAGTGGTGGCTGCACCCCCGAGCATTGCATGCAGCTCCGCGTTGAAGCGGCATGTTTGCGGCTGTGCCCTGGACCTTCCGTTTGCCTCTCTGGCTTTGTGGTAGGCTTGCCTTAGCTCCTTAATTTTCACGCGGCACTGCTGTGCCATCCCTGTTATGACCTCTGTCCTTCATGGCCTTGGAGACCTTTTCTAATATTTTGCCATTTCTTTTACTGCTACGGAGTTCAGCTAGCACTGATTCGTCTCCCGATATGGCGAGCAGATCCCGTACCTCCCGTTCGGTCCATGCTGGAGCTCTTTTGCGATCCTGGGACTCCATCATGGTTACCTGTGCTGATGAGCTCTGCGTGGTCACCTGTGCTCTCCACGCTGGGCAAACAGGAAATGAAATTCAAACGTTCGCGGGGCTTTTCCTGTCTACCTGGTCAGTGCATCTGAGTTGAGAGTGCTGTCCAGAGCAGTCACAATGAAGCACTGTGGGATAGCTCCCGGAGGCCAATAACGTCGAATTCCGTCCACACTACCCCAATTCCGACCCGCTAAGACCGATTTTATCGCTAATCCCCTCGTCGGAGGTGGAGTAAAGAAACCGGTTTAAATGGCCCCTTAAGTCGAAAGAAAGGGCTTCGTCGTGTGAACGTATCCAGGCTTAATTCGATTTAATGCTGCTAAAGTCGACCTAAACTCGTAGTGTAGACCAGGCCTAAGGCCCAGGTTTTTAGAGGTATTTAGAAGTTGCTTTGCTCAGTGTTGCAAGGCCTAAGTGACTTATATAGTTAAGTTCCATTTTCAGAAATTACTTAAGCACGTTGGAGACAAAGTCCCATTGACTTTCAACGTCCATCCTTCCTCTCTGGTCCTGGGTGTTTGGTTCTCTAGAGTAATGGCCTCCAAAAAGATAAATTTCTCTAGCAGCGGAGATCTGTGGGTGGGTTTATGTATTGTGGGCTGCTGCTTTTAATTATAACCCTATCTTTAAAAGAGCATCCATAAAGAAACAGCACATGGTGAAACAGATGTTGTTCAGCAGACCTGAGTCCTGTGGAGGTAGAATATACTAATTAACTGTGTTGTAAAGTATAATCAAGAAGCAAACAAAAACTGAGAGGCAGTAATGAAAAGTTACTGCCCTTCCCCAACTATCTTGTAAAACTGCTCGATTAAGCTTCAAATGTCAAAATGATAAGGAGAAGTTGTTGTTTTTTCTTTTTCTTTTAAGCCTTGGCACCTGGGAGGCAAAAAGCGCTGGGCATGCTAAAACTTCTAGGGTATGTCTTCACCACAGAGTTAGCCTAAGGTCTTACGTGGGTGTTGCACCAACCCTCTTTTTGTCATCTGAGTTTGGCATTACTTTCAATCTGGGCTTGCTGGCATGGCGCAACATGTGGGTTAGAACCTGGGTTCTGCTTTCACTCAGGCTGGTAACCTCACTTTGCAGTGAGGGCATTGGTTAAATCATTCAAGTGCTGCTGGTCCTTCAATGCCCTCCCACAATTCCCTGTGTGCCCAGAAGGACAGACAAGTTTTTTCACAATCCATTGTCAAGGAATTATAGGGCAGCTCAGCTTACTGCTGCAAAGAACTATGGGTTATGCCTCAGAAGCCCTAGTGAGACACATGGAGGAGTGCAGCACTGGTGAGAACACAGTAATTTGGGTGTGGCTTCTTGCACCCAGGCTGCTGAAACCTGGGTGCTGATCCCCTGGGTTAACTCTGTAGTGAAGACATACTCCTGGAGTCACTCTGAATGCTCTCTCATTTTGTTTTGTCATTACTGTCTGGCAATACGTTGTGCAAAGCTTCATACTGCTGACTGCTAGGAGGAGCATGTGTTGAGATTGGCTACTGAGTTTTTGTCTGTTCTCCCTGACTCACGGTTACTTAGTTGTTTGCTAGTCAGCTTTGCCATCTGAAAGTCACTGTCTTGAGAAATCAATGCAGAGAATTAATGATAGCGCTTACAGGGACTGTCATTTATCATAAGTTTGTATAGTGCCTAGCACAATGGGGCCCAACCTTATTGTGGTCTTTAAACACTACTACCATATAAATGTAAAATAATAATGCAGTATACAGTATTTCATCAGTAGTGCTCAATGCACCTCACAAAGGTGGCTACATATCATTATTCCTGTTTTACAGAGGGAAAGCTAAGTCACAGGCATATGTAAGTGATTTATATGAGGTCACACTGGAGTCCGTGACAAAGCCAGGAACAGAACTTGGGTCTCCCAACTCCCAGACCTGTGCTTTGTTGCCCATATGTCATGTGTATGGGCTATAAATTATTTAGGTCAGGGGCCATGCATTCTATGTTCTCTACATTGTCATACACAATGACAATGCTCATAAAATATGGAACGAGCTTTCAGTGCCACAATATAACAGGGATGGGCAAATTGGAGGGCTAGATGGATGAAATAAGAACAGACCTGAACCAGATTTTGAGGTTCAGCAAAATTAAGGCTGTCACTTTTTTCCTCCTATTTTCATGTCTCTAGACTTCCTGGTTCCATTCAGGCACTATGGCATTGGGAGTGCTGACATACCATGAGAGAGGTTTCTCTTGAAGTTTCAGAGTCTGATAGAAAACAGGAAGTCCCCGAGATTGCATGAGATTCTAACTTCTGGAAGCATAACTGAATTGGTGAACTTTCGTGTTCAATCTTCACTGTTACTCTGCTAGGGTCTCTTTATGCTCTGAATTTTGATACATACGGGACATATACACTCTGTATGCATAACTATACGCATACGGTATATGCACAATATACATATATATTCAGCAACATTATTTAGGTATAATTGTATCATTTTTATTGTTGAAAGGGAGTTAAAAACACAAACTAAAATAATACATCTTGCAAAATAGCTTTTCACTTCTTGGTAAGCTGTCATTGACTAATTAAATGCCTCATAGCAGGTACCAAGCTTGGAGAGGAGGAGTGTTATTAATTGAAACTAAAATTAAAAAAAAAGTTTCAGAGTAGCAGCCGTGTGTGGGAGGAAAAACATGTTGTGTAGGAGTGGCTGAAGGAACATCAGGCTACATGTAATGCATTGTCTTAGCTTTCAGTAAAGCTACAAGAAATTAAAGGGTGCAGATCAGCTGTGAGATGTTCTTTCCTGTATGCATTTCTGTTACATTTTGAATAGGGGATTTTTCTTTTTGCTGCTCCTTGGACAAATGAAAGCTATTTTGACAATTTATTTCTGTTTTTGGAGTTTTATTTCCTGTTTAACCACATGCCATTTGATTTCCAGGTGGAACACCAGTATTCGCACAAATTAACTGTGACGGTATTGAAAGCCACAAATGTTACAAAAGGGGCTTTCGGTGATATGCGTGAGTATCACTGTTATTGATTCACCAATCTTCATTTCTCACCTATTCAGTTGTTTCTTCTCACAATGTGGGAGCGTTCTAAGCTTGTCATGTATTCGCAGTACCATTGGTGCTTTCTCTCTAGTTTTGCTAATGCCCAGGAATTGCTGTTTAAACATATTTGCTTTGTCATTGCTCACTCATATTAGTTCACATGGCACTTTTGCCTCTTCTCCCACATTTGACCCAAAAAAAATGAATGAATGAGTTGTATGCTGCTAGCAGCACCTAGAATAAGTCAGAGGCTGAGTCGGAAGTGAGTTCTCAGTGTAAGGAAACTGGGGGTGGTTGTGTCTTCAAAAGGTTGCGGTTTGGTGAAAGACCAAAAAAAAAAAACACAAAAAAGAGAGAGAGAGAGAGAGAGAGAGAGAACCAGAACCCAGACCAGTGCCCAGA